AAAAAAAAAAAACACCAATCTTACCACGTACACTCCAGTACAAAAAGAGAGAAAGAGTGAGAAAGCAAAGCATAGCAAAGCAGCACAAAGAACAGAAAGAAAGGGTTTAAAAAAAAAAAAAAAAAAAAAAAACCGAAAGAAAATAGCACAGCAATAGTAAATTCATCCAAACAAACAAAAAAGCATTTATATAAATATATGCCTTTTAGAGACCTAGAGAAGGTGGGGTGTTTACCATAAGGATTTCATCCAACCCTTTGTTTTGCTATCACCCCATAATAAAGATGCTGCAGAAGAAATAGTATTACCTCCTTTATTCCCAGATGAAGATGATGATGCTGATGCCGCTGTTGTTGACTGAAAAGATCGATTATTACCACTACCAACAGTACCCATTGCCCCAAGAGATGTTGTTCCTGCATTCATAGATGATGATAAAAGCGATGATGTTGTGGTGACTGTTAAAGGAAGTAGTGGAAAACGTTCTCTCTCCTCTGGAGTTGCAATAGCTCCATTCCACTGTTGTTGTTGAGATTGTTGAAGAGAAGCCGCTGGTCGTCCCCCTTCGTTGCTATTATTATTATTATTATTATTATTATTATTATTATTATTCCACATATCTGCAGTAGCTTTTGTACACCATGAGCCAAATGAGAGTGCGGTGGCCCGCAGTAATTCTTCATTACTGCGTGTGAGCAGCGGGGCGGTTAAAGACCACACAACGGGATCCACTCGGCCTTCAATCGCCTGCAGAACTGCCGCCGTGGAAGACGCGGAAACTCCACCAGGCGGAGCGAAGAGACCAGTAATGTAAAGAACATCAAAACACAACTGCAGTAATGCCTCTTCCTTTTCTTCATCGTAGACACCAGCAGGTATCGTTCCACTTGGGCCTCTATGAGGAGTAGAAGTAATACTAGGATTATTACTATTATAATAATAATAATAATTATTATTATTATTATTATTATTATTATTATAGTTGTGCATGCTGCTATTATTGCTATTTCCAGAGTTCCCACTTGCGGTGATGGAGGGAAGTACCACATTTAACACCGCCGCCGCTGTGCCATCGAGGAGTTCACGAATAAGAATGGGAAGTACAGTTCCTTGTAGTCGTTGTCCAACACCAACAGTGTAGAGAATATGTTGTAAAACAAAAAGAAGATCCGCAACATGTGGAGTAAGATGCATAGGACAAGCAATATCTTGTTCTTGCGGCTCTGTATCTTGTTGTCCTTGTTGTTGTTTAGATGGTGGTAGTAGTGACTGTTGAGATTGTTGGGATTGAGATTGTGATTGTTGTTGAGATTTGCGATGTCGCCAACAGGCCGCATATTCCAAAGTATACCGTCGTGCAGCTGAGGAAGAAATAGCAGTAGTAGTATTAGTATTAGTCTTAGAAACTGTAAAGGCCTCTAATGCCTCTTTATAAGCCGTACAAAGTCCACTTTCCCATTCTCGTCGAAGTAATTGTACCCATGGTGTATGACAGGCAAGAATGGTATCTTTTAACTCTTTTACAAGTAATGCCGTTGTTTCTGTAGTAGTTGTTGTTGTTTCTGTAGTTTTTGGAAGTGGCGGGATTTCCTCTAGTACTTGTAAGAGGACTTCCAAGAGAAGTGAGAATTGATCAAACATTACCATCATAGAAGCCCGCTGTTCAAAGGAGTCTGCCTGTTGTTGTAATTGTAGTTGATATGCTTCTTTTTCTCTTCGCATGAGTTCCTGTACACGACGTAGTATCTTTGTTATCCATGCAGAGATGAGATAATGGACAGTTGTATCTTTCTTTTCCCATGCATGTTCACTACTTAAAATACGATGGAGTATATATCGTAATACCCCATGATAAGCCGCTACTCCTTGATCTATTCTTGTTGTTGTTGGTGTATTTGCATAGGATGATAGGGCTGTATTCGTATTAATATTATTATTATTATTTTCATCATCATCTTCATCTTCTTCATCATCCGCAAAGAGTAAACTGTCTCTCTCATGTACTTTCTCTACATCCATAGGACTCCCATCCACTCCACCACCAACACCACTATTATTACTATTACTAGTCATGAGTGCAAACATATCTGAAGGTGAAAATGTATTGGAAAGGATTCCTGTAATGTTGTTACTATTACTATGATTATGATGATGACTCCGTTGTGGAGTTCTATTACGTAAATGAGATGTATTCGTAGTACTCTTTCGATCTAAAGAAGCATGTGTATTGGACCACATACAATGAACAACAGCTCGTGCAAGTAAAGCATCCTTCATTCTTCCATCTTTTCCACTTCCTCGTAGGCGTTTATGAGAGGCGGTTGTGGAAAAAGTAGAAGAATCCTGTGAATCTTCCTTATCACCATGCATAGCCGCAATACGTTCACTCACACAAAGTGAATGTGAGAAGAGATGTCGAGAGAGTTGTGGTATCATTAATGGTCTTGGCACTGTACGTATTTCTGTATGATCCTGTTGTTGTTGTTGTTGAGATTGTTGAGATGATGATTGTTGTTGTTGTTGAGATGATGATGATTGTTGAGATTGAGATTGTTGTTGTCTGTATTCCACTGCAATCCATCGTAGAATAGATTCACAGACACGATCTGCCTTCTTCAGTGCAGCTCCAATGGCTTTCTGCAAGGCACGTTCCGTAGTCTCACTCACCATCGCAGCCCATTTCGTTTTATCAAAAAGATCCCCAACAGTTATATTCCCCACAGCAGGAGAAGGAGAAGAAATAGAAAGAGAAGATGATGATAATAATAAAGAAGAAGATCGTGTGAGTTGTTGATAAGATTGTTGTTTCTGCATGCGATTACCACCTTCTATGGCTAGATGTTCATATATACAAATACAACGTGGATCCCGCAGTAAACCAGCATCTGCAACAGTGAGTAATAGTTGAGATACATTCTCCTGAACTAATAAAAGTGCTTCTCGTAGAGTTTTATACTCTACTACTGTCGATGATAATAATGATGAAATCTCATTATTATTATTATTATTATTATTATTATTATTATTATTATTATTATTATTATTATTCATCTTCTCCTTGTTAAGATGAGAACCTTCTTCTTCTTCTTCTTCTCGTCCTCTTTTCGGCCGCAGGAGTCGTGGATCTAATAATTGCATTCCACACACTTGCTGCATTACTTCACGAAGATATAATGTCCGTGTGTGGACGCGAACGGTGGAATTCTTCTCTGAAACTCCATCCAATTGAACAAGAGAAGAGGAGCCAACACTACCAACAGAGTCTACCCCACCATCTTCACTCACTGAACGAAAAGAAGAGGCAAATCCCTCTCGTGAAAAAGTACTACTACTTAATCGTAAAGGCATTAAATCATTCGTATCGGTTTTTTGTTTATCCCCATCTTGTTGTTGTTGTTGTTGGGTTGCTAAACGTGCACGAAGTGTTAGTAATCCTTGAAGTTTGCGTTGTCGCCGTTGTTGATTGGTATACTCATCTATTTCCTCTTCCTCTTCCTTATTATTATTATTATTATTATTATTATTATTATTATTATTATTATTATTATTATTATTAACATTATCTCCAACAGCAGAACCTTGTTGTTGTTGTTGAGATCCATACAATTTCGGTAATACAGAGGCTACATACGTTACCAAGTGAAAATACAAATACTGCGATCGTTGTACAATGTGTAGAGCCATAATCGCATCATCCACTCCAGTATTCTCAGCATTACTCATCATACCTTTATTATTATTATTATTATTATTATTATTATTATTATTATTACTCTTGTTGCTATTCTGCTGTATAGGAGTGAGTCCAGGTGTTCCTTCTATAGATGGAAGCCACCAAGCCGCTGTTGGAGCATCTAATAATAATAATGATAATGATGATGATGTATTCTCTACAAGACTCTGAGGAAGTGGTAATAATGCCCGTAGCCATTCCATTCGTTTTAAAAAAATCCTTTTCCCATTTTCATTAGAATTATTATTATTATTATTATTATTATTATTATTATCATTATTATTATTATTAGTAGTAGTAGTAGTAGTAGCAGTAGTAACAACAGGAGGATCTTGTTTCTCTGTCATTACTTTCCTAATAAGTTTCCTATCCTCTTCAATCAAAGTAGAGATGAGTTGAATTAATCGTAATAACGCATTCGGTAATGATATAGAGTCAAGAATCCCAAGAGCCGCATGTGCTTCTCTCATATGTCCCATTATTCCACTCATATCTCTACAACTCCATTCTTCTTTTTCTTTTTCTTTCGTTGTTGATATTGATGTTGCTATTGCCTTTTGTGCGGCCTCATCTGCATCCTTGCGGAGTAATTCCCTAATAACATGTTGGAGTCTATTAGCATATAAATGGACTTGTTTCTCTCGATGTTGATAGACGGCTGTTGGTAAAAACATTATATTCATATTCATATTCGTTGTTGATATTGTTGTTTCTATGCTATTGTTGTTGATGGCTGTATGTGTAGATGGATTTAATTGTAATCCATCCCGTAATTGTTGGAGAACTTTAGCCGCATCTTGTACTTGTTGAGATCCTAATAAACCCTCCATTGCCACACATTGTTGTTGAAATAGTAATCGTCCACACTGGGGTAATGTCACTTTATCCAATATAAACTTTTCCTTTTTACTATTATTATTATTATTATTATTTTCTTTTTCTTCTTCTTCTTTCTCTTTCTCTTCTTCTGTACTTTTCATATTCTTATTCTTCTTGTTGAAATCACTTACAAACTCTCTTAATGACGATGTTTGGGTATTTTCTTCATCCATGAGTGTGGTGGAACTCCGTCTAGGCGGTGTATGTAGATAAGCCGCTGATGTCTGTTCACTTTTCTCTCGCTCTCCATGATGTAATGGAGATAACGGCAAAGAAGAAGAAGAATAAGAAGAAGTGCCGGCAACAGAAGTCTGTTGTAATTCCTTTTGCAATTGCAGTAATTTCTTACAGGTGTGTTCCATTCCCACTACTCGATCACAGGCGGCAATGAGATCACGATAACTTTGTCCAACAATTTGTTTTAATCGATCATCACTCTCTTGAATTCCACGGGTAATGGTGGTGAGGTAATCATGAGCCTGTTCTACACTGTTGTTTATAAAGATTCGTCGAACCTCCTGTACTGCCTCTTCAGAAGACATTATTGACAATCTGTATATATATATATATAAATAAATAAATAAATAGATAGATAGATGAATAAATGAACTCTCTCTCTCTTTTTCTCTTTCTCTTTCTTATAATATGGAAATGGTTAAAAAAGAGAAAAATGAAGAAAAGAATTAAAAACAAAAAAGAAAAAAAACACAAGTTATTAACATCATAAACAGAAATAACAATAAATAACAACAGTAAACTTGACCAAAAAAAAAAAAAGAATTAAATAAATAAAAAAATAAATAAATAAACATCACTAGGACTTTCTATCTACCTATCTATCTGTCTACATATAGATAGATATATACATAATCCATGTATAAATTTACTGTCACGTTTTTACACAACTTCACTCATAATCACTACACCACGATAAATAATCTTTCATACTTTTTCGACTTTCATTCCCTTCTTCTCTTTCTTCTTTTTCTTCTTTTCTTTCATTTTCTTTTTCAATTCCGGCAAAACGAAAAAGATCTTCTCGTGATTGATGAATGCCTAAGCCATACCGCCCGACATCCTGTAAAGCCTCCGTTTCCAACTCTAATAAAGATATCTTCTTCTTCTTCTCCTTCTCTGTTTCTCCCGTACTTTCTCTAATCCCAAAGAGAATAAAACGTAAACGGATTAAACTCAGTTCTCGCATACGCTTTAATTTCTCACTGACTTTTATTTTATTTTTCTTTTCACCAAGTGATAAAGATTCCTTTTCTCTTTTTTCCTTTTCTTCTTCTTCTTCTTGTTGTTGTTGTTGTTGGTGTGGACCGAGAAACACAATAGGTTCATTCGGTGAAAATAAATCCCACCCATGTGTCCAAAGCCGTGCACTTAATAACACCGACTCTTCATCTCGCATCAGTGAGTGAAGATACGGGTCTAATGGGACACTTCTCCCTTTTGTTTTCTTTTCATTACTCTTCTCATCTATATTCTTATTATTCTTATTCTCTTTATTATTATTATTATTATTATTATTATTATTATTATTAGGAGGAGGAGGAGAGTTATCCATTGGAGTTTGGGAAAAATCAAAAAAGGCCTCCGCCCGGGTAAATAAGAAATCCGTCGTAATCCATGGTTGAAGAAGATATGGTAAACTCTTATTATTATTATTATTATTATTATTATTATTATTATTATTTCTCTGAAAGGATGATGAAAAAGGTGGTTTCTCTCTTAATTTCTTCTCCTTTTCATCTTCCATCATTGTCATCATCTTTACATCTGTACAAGCTGGATGACTCTCTCCCTCACAATAATGTGTAGAAGAAGGTTGCATATATTTTAAATCCTGTAATGCATGACTTAATCTTTTTACATTTACACTATGTAACTTTAACAATAATGTATTTTCATTCTCTTTCACTTCTTCTTTTTCTTTTTCTTTTTCTTCTTCTTCTTTTTCTTGTTGTTGAGATTCCATACCTTTTCGCATCTCTAGACCACAGAGATACGGTGTAACACTGTGGTTACTTAACGCACTCAATACAATGGGGTATAATACATTCCGGAAGTGATTTAACCAATACAGTTGAACTTCCTCACGAATTTCTTCTCCATTAACATTAGATGTATTCCCTTCTTTTTCCTTCTTCTTATTCTTATCACTATTACTATTACTATTAGAAGAAGAAGTAGTAGTAAAGAGATAACGTAGTATATCTTCTTCTGTGAGTCCACGAGGAGTTGTTGGATGATCATCCAACCGTACGAGATCTTCATGTAATGCCCAACGTGCATTTTCCAACCATTTATAAACACCTGATTTCCTTTCATTATTATTATTATTATTATTATTATTATTATTATTATCACTATTAGTAGTATTAGTATTATTAGTATTATTATTGTTCTTGTTTCTATCCATCTGCATGCGTTGAGTGGCGAGTATAATACTCTTCACACTCTTTACAATCGTCTCATTCCATGCGGAACGCAGAATAGCTTTATTCACATGTAATGGTGATTGTGAAAGAACCGCATAGTTTGAAGGGAGTTGTAACCATAATAAACGTGTGAGAATATCCCAATGTGGACGTAACAGTAATCCCGCACGGAGAAACATTACATACGTCTCTCCACGGTAAAGTGTCAGTGTGGCATATCGCTGCGCAGCAATAGAAGAGAAGAGATGTTTACGATTACGTTGTTTAGATGATGATAATGTTGTTGTTGTTTGATTGGATTCTCCATTCACTCGTACTTGTCGAAGGCGAATATTATCCAATGGACAAAATACAAAACCCTCTGCACATGTGGGTTGACGATATAGGCGTGGAATACATGCAGAGATTGGTTGTTTAGGCCATTTACTTTGTTGTTGTTGTTGTTGTTTCTTCTTCTGTTCTTCTTCAGCTTCTTTTCCTGTATTTTCATTAGTAGTAGGAATAGTGGTAGTAGTAGTAGTTGTTGTTGTGTCTAGTATTACTTCTACAATTCCTGTATAGATTGCAATAGGCCATCGTGCAGTTTCATACATATTCTGCACAGTCATTGCACAAGCACTTTCACTTTCTTTTCTCTCTTCTTCTTTTTCTTCTTCTTCTTTTCTTGTAAAGATAGACATCTCTTGATGTAGTAAAGCTACAAAGATACTTCCTTCCATTCCATACCCACGCCGTACGGTGTGAATGGGATCCCAATAAGAATCGGAATGTAAAATATTTTCACTGTAATCACTATCAATCGTCCGTTCAAAGAAATTATTTCGTTGGGCGAGTTCTTTTTCATAGTAATCAGAGAGAATAGACTCCGGTGTATTTTCCTTACGGGGAGTATAGGAAATATTCAAGATCTTATGATCTACATGATGAGATTCTTGTTCATTTAAAAAACTAGAAAGAACAGAAAGCATTCGGCTTACATAGGAGACAAGATCCAAATTTTGTATTTTCTCTAATTGTAAGAGTTGTTCCTTTAACTTTCCCTCTTGTTGTTGGGAATTATCATTAGAGTTTTTTTGTAATGCTGGCGATGATGAAGTAGTAGTGATAATGATATCTTCCATGAGTTGAGTCCAGAGAAGTGTCGTGCAGACAACCGCGAAGAGAATAAGAAGAAACAAGAGAGAAACAACCGCCCGTTTCCGCAGGAAAAGAGATGTATAGAGACAACACCGTCTAGAAGAATGGGTCATTATTCCTAATATGGGAAAAGAAGTATTAAATGAAATAAAGGATACTATGCAGATCACTAATATATATATA